CTTGAAGAGTGGGACTGTAAAGAGATTGTAACGGAGAAATCACGGAGAAATTCAAAAGAGCCCTTCTATGAGAAGAGGGAACGTAGCTGTCCGCACTTTAGAAGCCGAATCCCACAATCTTTGGAGGAATGGGCAGAAACTCCATTTCACCATATTACAGGGATAGGACACCTGAAGGACAATAGCGGCAAATCTCCACCCATCCGCTTATTGCGAAATTTTTCCAACGAGGCCATATTATTACTTACTTTTCCTGCCAGTAAAGCCGTTTTTGCACTGCTGACTTCTCTGTTAGATTGATTCCTTGTTTTCGAAAGCATAGCTGCTTTTTCAATCTGAAACACTGGAACATAAACGTATTTCAGCAAAAGTGGCAGCTTCCTATTGAGTTTACAACAAATGAGTTTGACCTCTTCCAGTACTCCATAGGCAATTTCGGACGTGTACAGATGCTTTGCTGCTGTTGATAAGCCAGCCAGCACTGCCCATATTGCGTCGTTCTAAAGGAAGGAAGGGAAATGTATGCAGTATTGACGGCTGTTCAGAACTGGTACACCCTTTTCGGAAACTTGTATGCTTTTGCGGAAAATCGGAATGACATGACCACTGCCGAGAGCAGGAAGGTACTATTAAGCCGTGGACTCCCCTACACCGCTTTTGCGGAGACGCCCCATTTTGAAAAGGAAATATTAGGATGGTGTTATGATCAAGCATTGCAACAGGGCACATCAAAAATGTGGCAGATTAAGGGCATATTTCGTTGTAGTCGTGCAGGTGGAGGCTCGTCACCATTGTAGATCCTTCGTCTCTGCTGCTCTTTACCGCATCAGAGGAGGAGCGCAGCAAGAAGGCAAGCAGGTTATGAGCCTCCGCCTTCTTCACTCACATCATTTCACGCGAAAGCTGGCCCTGAGCGATTAATGTGCGTAATTTTTACCATGCTTGACGGTAAAATTGAAGGCACTATTTACCCTTTACTGCCCCAATCTTCGAAAACAGGCCAGTTTCTGACCGACTTTTTCTGCGTTGGCAGAATTGGCTGAAAATTTGTTTCCTGGGGTAGTTTGACCTCCTGAACATGAATATCACATCCGCTCGGCACGAAACCTCCTGGCGCCCGCGCCACAGGCGCCGGCGCCAAAATACCCTAAATCACCAAATTCGCTGAAATCTTGTTCTCAGGGGCAGTCTCACCTCCTGAACACGAATATCACATCCGCTCGGCCCGAAACCTCCTGGCGCCCAAGCTACAGGCGCTAGGCGCCAAAATACCCCATCACCGGCGCCTGTGGCGCGGGCGCCAGGAAGTTTCGGGCTGAGCGAATGTGATATTCGTATTCAGGAGGTCAAACTACCCCAGGAGACAACATTTGAGCAAAAAAGTCCACGGAAAAAAGTCGGTCAAAAAGTGGCTCAATTCTGGATGGTTGGGGCAGTAAAGGGTAAATAGTGCCAAACTGAAGATCACAGCAATGTGTACATCAGCTAGTGCCCGCAAGTAATCGTGCACACTAGTTGTGAACTTATAGAACTACTCATTTTCGAAGATAAACTGTACACTCGTACCAGTAGATCTTGATCTTTGCCTTATTCAAGGTGAGCAGATCTGTAGTCTTATAAGCGTGCCCTATTCTCTAGCCAAAAATGCACGGGAACAGGGCAGGAGGCTAATGATGGAACTCGGGATAGTTCTATGCAATGAGACCCCTTTTACCTCAGACGGAGTTCAATTCGTGGTCCGGACAGGTTTAGGGCTACAGTAAGATTTTAAGACTGTGAAACGCGTTAGCTCAAAACAGACCTTAACCTGACGGCATAGTCGAATCGCTTGGTCCCACTTGGATTGTGAGACATTCCGTAGAAGTGAAGAGGCGAATGGTGGTACAAGTGTTGTAATCGCAGACCCATCGGATCGACGTAAAGTAATAGTGCTTCCTGTGAAACTGAAAGCAAGTCAACTCATTTCCACACAGAGGTCACACATATATAAGTAGCAGGACTGAGTCTTCGTACTTCTGAGTTGTTCTACTGCTAGTTGAAGCATGTTTAATGGTTGGGTGCAACTGTGACGGGCGGAGGGGGGGGGGAGGGGAGGAGGCATTTTGCACTTTTGCTAGTTCCCATCGACGTGTCGACCCATCTACAGAGCTTCTTTCGTGAGCTTAGTTCAAAGTTGACAAATTTTACCATGGTGACTGGACAAGCTTGCTCCAGTTTCACAAGAGTTCAAAGGTTTCAACAGAGCGAGACTTGTTAGCCGGAAATAGTAAAGCGGGGAAGCACCCTCCTCTCCCCCCTCCTCGGCGAGGTTCGCCCGTTGGCTGTTACTGACTTTTGCAAGTCTCACTTATACCTATTTGTGCTTACTTAATTATCGGTTTTCAACAGAAAAAGCGTAGACCACCCAGCAACACTTTGAAAAGACGATGGAAAATGCACCATTTCTGAAAATCTCTGTTGGCACAGAAGAAAGACAAACCTTCTGAGGACTGGGAATTTACCGAGGCCGGACACCGGCCTCTCCAGCACAGACCGCTCCAGTAAGGAGCGATCTATAAACGCGATTTCTACTGCCGGCCAGATTACTGAAAGAAGACATAAGTTTGAATAAAGTGAAGCGGGTTAGGTACTATCACGTACCAATACGACTGTCACCCACTCCCACTAGCATGTTAGTGACGTCGTTGAAAGTGAGTTGTTCGACAGAAGAACCTCAATTTTTACATTATTAACTCTTCATATCAAATGGAAATTGAAAAGCTCTAGTTAAACCATGGCTAATTATTCTACTATTCAAATTCCTACTCTTCTATTATTCAAATTCCTCGGAAACAACGCCAAGAGCTTTGAGCCTTAGTTCATTTTTATCGGAACATTGTAACCGTTGAGACCTACCGATTTTGGCGACCTTTTGAGAAATACCATGTGCCTTCACTTTCGCAACGAATACGGCACCTTCACTGTCACGAAACGCAAGCATTCTGTCAGCGATCGGGCCGCACTGGCACAGAGTCAACTCCATAATTTCATGCTGTAAAAAACACAATTAACCTACAACGACCTTTTGATCGTCATCAATAGAGTCCCGAGAGAGATGTGGTTTGAAGATTTGGTCGCTTGGGCGCCTGGCAGCTCTTCTCCCAAATTGTTTGAAAGTTTGTTTCTAAACGGTCTTCACCGACAGTGAAGTGCAAAGGACAAAGTTTGCCAACAGGTGATCGGGGAAGAACGTCGGATGTTAGTTCACAGTAAAAGAACCTACCTCATGTGCGATCTTGCCATCCCCTTGAGGTCTACCTGATGTAGGGTCAAACAGATGAATGGACGATGTCTCATCTCGATCCACCAACGCTACTGCATCGTTCGAAAGAGACGTCGTTTTTGGATCTAAAATCAGCCATTATAACTCGTATCCCTCAGTGTCTAATTTGTAAACATATTTAGCATAAGAATGAAAATGTTAGAATAAAGAATCGATAATTGGATTATGATTGCCATGCATTCTACTCTTATTCAAAATTGATAGATTTGAGCAAAACACAAAAAATTTACAAAAACTGGCATTTAACCTGGAATCCACGTTAATGTTATTATCAATGCACCAAGCTGAACCAATAGCTCCAAGGGAGACAGAAGTCGAGGTTGACTGTCCACTGCCTCTCCATCCATCTTGAGAAAATTGGAGCTTTTATTGTATAACTCACTTGATTCGTAGTTTTTTTTGTGGAGTCAGCCTATACGGATTTACCGAATTGTCATTCTCTGGTAAACACACCATACTTAGCCTCCAAGTGATATCACAGTGAAGTACAGATCACGTTGATCTGATGGGTAATTCATTATTTATTTATTAGGTTGGCGGGAAAGTTCTGTCACATTTTTTCAAACTAGGCTTTCTTTTTATAGAGAGGAGTGTAAGATCAAAATTGTACAGCAATGTTACTGCGGGGTCCTTGCCACTGTTTGAGCACCTCATGGATGCCATCGCTTCACTATGCAGGGAGACACGACGCAAAGTTGGACACCATCTCAACTTCGACTTGAACTTGGGTTATGGAGGTTTTCTCGTCCGCATAACGATCGATTACGGAAGGCAACTTGCTATTAGAAGGGGCGATGTCTGTGCTACACAAGTGCAAGGGGAGAGAGATCAAGCTCCATTGCATGAGGTACGGCTCGAACTTTTTTGGACCAAGTGCGTTGCACTCTCTTGGTGAGGGCCGGCTGTGCGGACAAATTTTTCCCTCTGATCCACGATACGCCTTAGATCTCGTAGCTGCTTTGCGTACGCCTTGACCAAGGAAGCAGCTTCTTCATCCAGCAGTTTCCCGACCCATAGCTCCCTCAAGCTGAGTTTGCAGGTAACCCAAACCTCACTTCGTCATCAAAACTGTAGGCTCCCTAGGCTCCCGCCTTGAAGCGTCACTGTCGTGGTAAGGTTGCTCGATGATTGGGGGCATCGTGCTTATTCAGCTCCATCAATTTGGCATCTGCAGCTAACACGCTGGCGTCAGGGTGGTAGGTGAAATAGTTTGTGGAAGTTGTTGGATGGGTCGGGGCTGATGGTAGCGGATAAAATCCTTGTGCATATTGCAGAAGAAGGAGCAAGAGGCAAGCGAGTGGTACTAACAGAGAGACCACTCCTTGTTGTACAAGAGCTTACATTACCGGTTACCACTCTTGCTAATGAGGCAAGTAATTTGAGTTCGGAAATAAGTGACAAAACTTTCCCGCCAACCTAATATTTGTCATGCACGCATAGGTGCGCTACAATGTCAGGGAAACTGCACGGATTACAAAATGAAATATCCGAATGGTATATCAAAAGAAAAAGAAACACAAATACAGTACAAATACATACAAGTGAGAACCACTCCAGAAAATAAATTCTCTCCTCTCTTAGAAATCTTGCATGCCTATCAAATTCATCAAGTCAATCTTTTTCAATTTACTTCTGAACACATACTATGTGTTAAGGGCCTTCTGCAGGTCTGTCCTCTCGCTCCTCCGTCTATTTTTCGAGAACGTTGATCTGATGGGTTATTTATGTATTTATCATGCACAGCAAGGACTGGAGATATCTCGCCCCGCGGAAAATAGTGAGTTAAAAAAAGCTGGGTCCTTCCGCACAACTTAGGAAACTGCAAGGACAGCGAAGAGATGCGGCCACTTGTCAGGTCTGAACAACCCAGTACTTACTGGGTTTCAGTCTTAGCTCTCCTTTCAGTATCTTAAACACAACATGGCGCAGTTCTTCGACGAGAGGGGGCATTTTGCACTTTCGCTACCACTAGTTCCGGTTTACAAGTCTCACTCTGGTGAAACCTGTGAACTCTTGTGAAGCTGGAGCAAGCTCGTGAGCCACCATGGTAAAACCTGTCAACTCAAAAAAGGCTCTCTAGATGGTGAACACGTCGGTGTGAAATAGCAAAGGTGCAAAATGCCCCACCCCTTCCCCGTCGCCGGACTGCCCCCACCATGTTAAAGGCAGTTGGCACGATGATTTGGTGCTCGGCCTAAAATGCTAGTAGGGCGCTATATAGTGGGGAAATGGCGAAAGAACGGAGTGAAACGGTCAAAATCCTGAAGAGCCTCCGTTCTCAATGTAGAAATCAATTTTGGACGAGTTTCCTGTAGGCATCTTGCCAATAACCGCTACCGAAGGTACGGCTGCATATGTGTACTCATATATCCATGCAGCATCACGCTTCATACCAATCCCTTCGCTTCATAATTTGCTTAGCAAATGAATCGATTAGAGCGTCAGGAACGGTCGTCCATTTGTGGGCGGGCGGGCGTTTTGGGTCGGTATGTTGTGGCTTGATAGGGCCCTTATAAGGGTACCTTCCCTTGGAAAAGGCGCTACACAGCGCCTGCTCAGGGTCGCGGATTCTGAGTCCCCTATAAATGAGCAAGTAACTTGGGTATGCAGGGTGGGGATAACACCGATACATCAGAATTCTGGAAAAGTTTGCTGAATCTTCTCGAATTTTGCCTGGAGTTTCTTAATGTGGGAGCTTCATCTTTGTGAAACATTTTTAAGCATGGAGATAACGTAAGCTTTGCAGAGCTCTGAAAAGGTAGAAGAACCATTTTGTCGAATATTTTTGGATATGGCAGAAAGGGGCTATCAGTTTTTCGAACAATAGTGTCAACTCGAAAACTTTAAGCAGGAATTCACAAGCGTACTTCGTAACTGAGGAAACGTTTTTAGCTAGTCGTGAATTTTTGGGCCTGCTACTCTGCCTTCCTCACTGGTGCGTCTCCCCTTTGTAACATAGTAAAGTGCTGTTTAGTAGTTCTATTTAGTTGACTAGCTGACTGTATGGATAGGCAAGATGGTTTCTAAAGTCAACTCACTGATTAAACTCGATTTTCCTTTAGGCATTTTTATTTCGCTGAGATTTCGACCCTCGTAACTGAACACGAATAAGGTTTGCCCATCTGATACTAGGAACACCCTAAATGCACTCACTGTGGATCGTGAAATACCTGAAGTCAAGTGCACAGGATAAGCAAATGGGATTACCACATAGTCTATAGGTCGACATTCCGTACTAGAGAATTTATGGTTGCGAGGCAAGTAGTGGCAACAGCGCTGCGTCTCCTCTTTAGTTTCAAGATCGATTCTCGTGAGTTCATAAACTCATGGCGTGGTCACAGTCGATCACCTACCGAACATCCTTCGTTCAAAGTGTTAACTCTGAACGGTCTTATAAAAATCACTCCGCGTCTGCGCCAGACAGGCGCAGCCCCCACCCCTTATGGTGGCCGGCCCCCGTGTGCCTGAGCTCTGCCGTGCTACACGGCCCGACACAGAACGGGTGCACCACGAGTGGCGTGTGGGCCTGTCCAAGCACGAGCCATGTAAGACTGCCACCACGAGAGAGTCGGCACGCTTCACGCCCACGGAGAAGTGAGACCGTCGGATTTTCTGGGCTGCCATGATGTCGGGCAGATTTCTTGTGCACTGTGCCAATGTGGTCGGACACACTGCTCCGTCTGAAGAAGCGCTGGCTGAGGCCCGTGCCTGCTCTACGCAAGGGTACGGCCGGTTGCGGGTCATCATGTAGCAGCAGGATGCCGTTTACTGCCAGAACTGATAGACGACCAAAGATGGCTGGTCAGTCCAACCACGGCGGGGTATGAGGAAAGAAGAAAGAGAGTCTCGACCTGTCTTGGGTCCATCTCAGTCCCTATGATCACTGTGGAGCCCTCCATCAAATTGCGTGCACTTGACTGCTAATTTTGAGAAAAAAGTTTTGCGTACTTGCTCGCCTGTAGTATCAGTTTGACAGCCTTCTCCTTCAGCTCAACTATGATTGGTGTATTCCAGTTCTTTGAGCTGAAAATTTTGTCAGTTATTCGACTGTTTGTCGTCATTTTTTTGGAGAATCTCTATGAGGGCATGTTCCACTTCATCCGCATGAGTGGAGATGCCCAGCAACGTCCTCCCCCTCTCTTTTGAGAGGTGAAGAGGCCGCTGATGAGGAATCTTCCTTCAGTCGTTGGGTGTCTCCACCCGCTTCCCCACCCATTCGAATATCGTGGAACATGTCATCAGGCCAATTTTATATGGTTGACTCTCTCTGTTCACAATCAGCGTGGAGTGCGTTTATGAATTGAATACA